CACACCACACACACACACCACACACACACACACATACACACCACACACACCACACACGCATACACATCCTGCTATAGTTTGCATCTGTTTCTTATTTTGGCTTTTCAGTGATTTAGGATGAGGTTGCCAGAGTGGCACCTTCATGAAATTCCAAAATAGACATGACTGATGCTGATTTATGAGTCAGGATGGAGCCTTGTCCTGTGGATGATGCTGGATTCTCTTTGTAACCAGGCTTTGGGCAATGGAGCTGGTCCCACAGGGCTAAAGAACTCAGCCTGTGTCCAGTGACTATAGGTGGAAACTTGATTGTCCCATTGTACCTGACTCATGAGTGAGTAGACAGTCACTGTTTTTCATTTCTTTTTCTAAAATACTCACTACAACTAAAATGTGTCTGATTATTACTATTTTTGTGAAATTCTATATTATTGGATATACTGTACTTTAGCCATAATTAGTTAAGGCATTTCTTAATTCCCTTTTAGGTATTTCTATGATTTGTATTTTGTTTAGTTTTCAGTAGTTGGGTATTTAAAAATACTTTTTTGTTTTCAATTTCTAGGTTATATTTCCTGAGTTACTTTGATGCTTTGAAATTTATCAAGATTTGCTTTATCACATGACTTTTTTGGTAAGTATTTCATTGCACTTTAAAAATGTTTGTTTTACCGTGTTCAGTTTACTTACTTATAGAAATCAGGTAGCCTGTCAATTTTATTATGTAAATTTCTAGTGCTTAGTTTATCTACTACTGAGATAGGTGTCCTCAAATCTTCCAGTGTGATCTTAGTGCATATATTTCTCTACATTGTTAAGTTTTGCTTTATATATTTTAAAACTATAAATACAATTAAAAATGCAATATAAAGCTGTATGCTTCCTTTTCCAACTATGAGAATATTGCCTCTCTTCTACTGTTGTGAAGATCTCTTTTCACTTGTTTTTAAATTATGATATACTTTTATGATACTTGTATGAAAAGTCTAGCTCTCTCTTTTCACATTATATTATCTTTATCATATTTTCACTTATACTTTTATAGTTGTGTTCATTATAAGTAATATATATTTTTCTAACATGTCGACACTCTTTGACCTTTAACTGGATATTAAATCTCTGTGGTATTTAATCAGTGCATGCTTAATATGGTGACTAATATGTTATAATATATATTGATACATCTATTTACTTATTGTTTAATTTGAGATGGTGTCTTACTATGTAGCTCTAGCTGTCCTGAAACTCACTATGTAGACTAGGCTGGCTTCTAACTCACAGAGATCCTTCTGCCTCTGCCTCCTGAGGGCTGGGATTAAAGGTATATGTCACTATGCCCAGCTTGATATATTTAAACATATCATTATACCAGTTGCTAGTCACTTGTCTTGTTTTGTATTTCTTAATGACTGATAAGGTGTTTTTAAAAACTGACAATAGACACAAATAAATATTTCTCAAAGAATATATACAAATGTCCAACAAGCATTTGAAAGAATATTTAGTATCATTAATTATTTGGAAAGACAAATACTGAAAAAAACTCCCTCATGTGTGGAACCTAATTAAGTTGATATAATGGAATTTGATAGTATAATGGTGTTTACTAGAGACTGGGAAGCTTAGGGACAGATAAGCAATGTGGGATTCTAAATCAAAGGAGCAAGGTGTTCTGATGTGCCATTGCAGAGTTAATTGCCTACTTTTATACTATACATCTAAAACATCTGAGAGGTAAGATTTTGAAGAATCTCACTATGAAGAGTTAAAAATGCTTTGAGTTTATATATGTGTGTTTATGTTGATTTAAAAGCTATACAATGCACACATTTGTTAAAACATCACACATTACCACATTATACCCATAATTTATATATGTTGGTGTATTGCTTAATTTAGCAAAACCACCAAATCTATACTCTGAGTTATTTGTGGAGGTATTTCTGCATCACAATGACTTGTGAAGTATGTTGTATTTCAAAAGTCTGAAGCCACTTTCTGGAGGGGAAGGTGGCATTCGACACCCACTCATTGACTGCAGAATCTCCAAAGAGTAAACTTGGGATAGTTGGAGAGCATCCATCTTTGAGGTTGGTAATGACAGAAAGGTGGTGAAGCTAAAATACAAAACACAAAAATGAAACTTTAGAAAGCACAGCAGAAACAAAGTCAATTGTTCATTCTAGAGGGCTCAGTCCCAGCGATTCAAGAAAAGATGAGAACCTCTGAAATACGCATTGGATGGTCAGTCAGTGCCAGATGAATTACATAGAAGAATCTGGGATAAAAGGTGCAAAAGGGTAGGTGAAGGACAAGGTAGATGGGTTAGAATATTCAGGTAGCAATAAAGATAAAAATAAGAAAGTATGGGCAGAACATATGAAATCTATGTCATACCATTAAAAGAACAAATTTATGAATCCAGACACAGGAGAAATAAAAGTATAAGCTAAATGCACAGAAAAACTCCAATAAAATTATGTCTAAATCCCATGGGCTCAATAGGGGGTAACCAACAAACCTCTTTCTATTTGGATTTATGGCTACACAATAGGAAGAAGCACATGCCTGGTAATCTAAATTTGGTCAAGAACCCATGGTTGGGAGTTCAGAATCCCCAGGGGTGAATATTCTGTTATTATGCTAAATGGACATAGTATTGAATTGCTCTCTAAATGTGTATCTCTATGCTCGCAGACAAGTGCAACCTTCAGACCTCATCAGAGAAATTTCTTTGTGCAATGGACAGTGGTTACTACAGAAACTCAAACCTTGTAGAAGTGCAGAGAGTGTCAGTGGAGTGCTCAGCCCAAATGGGATGTCTATATCATCCATTTCTCTCCACAGTTTGGAGACCCTTGTATAAGAGAGATGATAGGGTCCAGAGATCTGAGAGGATTAGAGTGAAACAATGTCTTCTGGACTTCAGACTACTGAATTTATGTTTAACACAGCATCTCTCATTGTCTGAACAAGACCTGTACAAGATAAAGCCAGTCAATATTCTTTCATGGAAGAGGGAGGATCTCACAAGCTTCTGAGAAGCTATTGATAGTTGATGGCTTTGGGGGAGGGGAGAATTGGTTTCTCCTCCCTACTCATCTGCCAAGCCAAGCCAAGCCAAACCAAACCAAACCAAACTATTTTATATTGTATTTCTTTTAATTAAATTTATTTTATACGTATGGTTATTTTACCTATATGTATGTCTGTGTACCACATGTGCGCCTGGGACAAATGGAGGCCAGAAGAAGGTTTTGGATTTCCTAGAACTGGAGTTATAGATGGTTGTGAGCCACTATGTGGGAACTGGGAATCAAATCTGGGTCTTCTGGAAGAACAGCAAATACTCTGAAGCACAGGACCATCTATCCAGTCCTCTTCTGTCACTCTGATGAGACTGATTGTATATGTCTTAGTTACTGTTCTAGTTCTGTGAAGAGACACTATGGTGAAGGCAAGTATTATAAAAGAAATTGTTTAATTAGCTTACTTATAGTTTCAGAGGGTTACTTTATTATCATCATCATGGTGGGAAGCAGAAATGCATGGTGCTGGAGCAGTAGCTAAGAGCTTTACACCCTGATCCACATACAGGCTGCCTGGGTGGAGGGAGAGTGACAGAGACAGAGACAGAGACAGAGACAGAGACAGAGACACACAGACACACAGACACAGACACACACACACACACACAGAGAGAGAGAGAGAGAGAGAGAGAGAGAGAGAGAGA